ATATATATATATATATATATATATATACATATACAGTTGAAGTCAGAATTATTAGCCCCCCTAAATTATTAGCGCCCCTGTTTATTTTTTTCCCCAATTTCTGTTTAATGGAGGGAAGATTGTTTCAGCACATTTCTAAGCATAATAGTTTTAAAAACCTACTTCTAATAACTGATTTATTTTATCTTTGCCATGACGACAGTAAATAATATTTTACTTGATATTTTTCAAGACACTTCTATGCGGCCTAAAGTGACATCTAAAGGCTTAACTAGGTTAATAAGGTGAACTAGGCAGGTTAGGGTAATTAGGCAAGATATTCTATAATGATGGTTGGTTCTGTAGACTATCGGGAAAAAAAAAATTAGCTTTAAGGGGCTAATAATTTTGTCCCAAAAATTGTTTTTAAAAAATTCAAAACTGCTTTTATTCTTGCCAAAATAAAACAAATAAGTCTTTTTCTAGAAGAAAAAATATTATCAGACATACTGTGAAAATATTCTTGCTCTGTCAAACATCATTTGGGAAATAGTTAAAAAAGAAAAAAAAATCAAAAGGGGGCTAATAATTCTGACTTCAACTGTATATAAATATATATATAGACTAAAACCAAAACTAGAATAGTCATCAAATAAACAGAAATGAATGACTACACATATAAAGTCTGTCTAATCTGTCTATTTTCTATTTCTGTCTATCTGGCTATTCTTCAATGTCTATTAGATTTTCACTAACAGCCCAAATTTGGCCTTGTTTTAGTTAAGCTATCTATGTTCAGATGTCTATTAGACATCTATTAAACACAAAATTGTTTGTTGAGCTGGTGGCCAATCTTCATTGATTGCACATATATATACACATATCTAAAAAAAAAAAAATAAAAAATAATGCAAGCAAAGTTAATTCTGCCAGAATTTCGTCACAATACCTCCAGTTTTGTAATTAAATAGCAAACAGATGAAATTATATGATATGTATACGTTTTCCACCTCACCTGATATATATCACCACATTACCTCCTTCTTCTGCATCTTGGCTCAGTACCATGTCTTTGACAGTGGTGATATTTTCAACAGTACGGCCAGTACTTGCAATTATTTTCACCAAGTCATCCAATCCACCTTTTCTCTAGTTTTTAGTTACAAATTTACAAAGAAATCGCTCATAAACCTTTGATCAAACTTGTAGCTTCATACAAAAACAGTATTTTTATTTAAGGCTTAAAAAAAAATGCAGCTAAAAATAAATACGTCATCATTACGCCACAATTACGTCATCACCAATGAAAGTAAATAAAAGGATTATTGTGATGCACAGATTGCCCTGTATATATATGTATGCCTTGTAAAAAATCTTCGAATTTTCTTTGTCGTTGTCTTTCTTTCCTTAAATAATTCCCTCTAGTGAGTGGAGCTAAGATGTGAGAAAAGGAACAGATAAAGGGAAGTGAGGAAAGAAAGGGAGGATGCATGAATAAAAACTGCAGAACAACAGTAGAAGTCGATCACACCTATTCTTCGAATATCTGAGTTTGGTCACATGTTCTCTTTTCAGGTAGGCTTCAACTATTTTTTTTTCTTTTCACCGTTAATTAATTCTCTTGCAAAAAAACTGAAAAGGCAAGTACCATTGGCAAACTTTTTTTTTTACTCTAACACGATTTCAGTACTTTATTGTATGGATTTTACTGAAGTACTTGTTTTTCACTGAGCAAAGAGAAAAACTGAGTGCACTGAGCAATTCCAGCATTTTGGATGTGACATTTGTAGTAAAAATTCTAAGCATAAATTCACAGAGAAAGTATATGTTAACATTATATTGAAACATCTGATTATATTTTCAAACAACTAACCACAGAGTTGTGGGATTAGAAAAATATCAATCTGTAAACATTGTTTATATTCTAAATGAGGAAAATAAATATAATTTATGGACGTGACAAAAAAAAAATATGTGAGTTTACAGTTTACAACATACTTTGTAGAAATTCTGTGAATGTAACTGCACAACCCAAAAGAAACAATGCTAATCAAAAAGATACGAGTTGGCCCACCATAGAACAAAAAAATAGTTGATTTTATTTTATTTAAAACTTTTGATTTAAAATGGAAAAGCTTTGTTCTGTGACACATGTGAAATTGACACTTGTGTGACTTTGATTAATCAAATATAATTGACAAAGACATTTTTGCGGATTTTAAAAGTAAAATAGTTGCTTACACAAAAAATGTTGAAATGGTTTCGCTATTTCGGTGAAAACTTTGTTTTTCATGGCAAGGTTGACATTTGCATGGAATTTCTCATGTATGTTATATATGTTTAAAATCTCAGAACAAAAATAATTTTGATGTTTGGTTACCACTCTGTAAAAAAGCTGGGGTGCTGGAAAAATATAAAATAAATTACAGAAATTTACCTTAAAATAACAAATATTATATTACAGAAATTTACCTGAAATTTAAATTTAAGGAAATTTCTGTAGTTTAATGTTCGTTATTTTATGGTATATTTCTGTAATTTAATAGCCGTTATATTACTTTTTTTTCCGTCACCCCAGCTGCCGGAAATAAACCATAAAATTATGGATTTCTTTTATATATTGCAGCTACCTAAATTCAGGTAAGTTATGCAGTTTAAACATTCTCCTCTTATTAATTGGCTTGCTGAGAAGAGGAGAAATTTGATTTATCAGACTTTTGGCTTTTTGGGTAACTGGGTATTAATATCTAAACGAAACATTATTATGAATTAATGATGAGTTAAATAATGTATTAATTAACATTTAAGTTTAAGCTAAATGTATCTTATGTCTTATGCAGACAGATCTGCGGACGTTTTTGGCCATTTCTGCAGAGAATTTTTGTAAAAATCTGCAGATTTCTGCGCAATTACTATTGGAGTATCATAACTAAAACCTAAATATGTGAATTTAAAAAATAATATCTTTTTAACTTTTATTGAATGTTTACAACGCAAATCCAATTAGATTCACTTTTTTTGGTAAACAAAGCAAGTCTCTTATGTAATATCTCTACTAAAAGACAGAAAATATTACTTTACAAACTGCATTGTTCATAAATCAGATGAACATTTTCATATAAGTCTGAAATATAAATATTACTGTAATTAATTTAAAAACGGAAAAAAATATAGATTTACACACATTTACTCAAGTAAATAAACAGAATTATTGATGGGCTAAAAATCTGCGGAATTCAGCGCGCTCAGATTCTGTGTGGGCCTACTCATGAGCTGTTAATATATAATCATTATCATTAAGTCATCCTTAACTATTCATGAACTCCTTTGTATAAACTGTTCAAGTCGACGCAGACTGAAGTCCTATTGTTATTCAGTGTAAACACACTAGACGGATGTGCAAAAGGAGTCCATAAGTAGTCAAAGGGGAAATAAAGCACACAGTCAAGTTTAAATTGTTTTGTACATTAGATTCTTCTTTAATGAAAATAAATTAAACAACCTTGATTAATGTAACCATTTAGAAGAAAACGGCATGTTTAACTATAGCTTTTAGACCTACAGAGCGCCGCATTTTGGAATGTCGCTGTGCCTGATGTCACAGGGTTGGTTCTGTTTCCTCAGCTGAACAGTAACAGTGGAAGTAAAGGACTGAACACGGAGACTGGACAGCCTAATTTAACAGTTGTAGAAGTGGAGCTGGTGCAAATAAAAGCATCAGATGTGACGCCAGACACTTCTAAATGGTTACATTAAACAGGCTTGTTTAATATATTTTCATTAAAGGGGAATCCAATTTACAAAATAATGTGAACTTGACTGTGTGCTTCATTTCCCCTTTAAGGATGAGTTAATGATGATGTGTGAAGTAAAGTCATGACATAATTATATATTAATAGCTCATGAGTTCATGATGGTTACATTTTGCACACATGAACTCACCTGACTCATGTTGTAGTTAAAGTTAGGTCATGAATAGTGCATGCATTAAATCATTATTAGTTCATGATAAAGTGATGTTTAGTTTACATTATAACACATCATTATTCATATATTGTTATTGTAAAGTGTTATTGCTTTTTGTTTGTTGGAAGATGCAGGCTCAAAAATTGCATTGAATGGAAATATTTGAATATTATCAACACAGGCTCATTCTGAAAACGTAGACCCGCGGACGTTTCTGGAGGCCATGCATTATGTAGCCGGAAATATGTATGGCTGCATTTAATTTTTTTAAGCAAACGCTACAGGCAGGGCGCGGATATAACTGAGGTTGCGTGTGTGCTAAAGGAGGTGTCGCGGACGCCGCCCTCTCTATTCTGCCACCCTATGCGCGGATATAACTGAGGACGCGCGGGTGTCGTGGACCTCTACTGTGCCGCCCTATGTGCGGATACAACTGAGGACGCGCGGGTGTCGTGGACCTCTATTCTGCCGCCCTATGTGCGGATATAACTAAGGACACGCGGGTGCTGATGGAGGTGTCGCTGATGCCGCCCTCTCTATTCTGTTGCCTATGCGCGAATATAACTGAGGATGTGGGTGGTAAGGGAGGTGTCGCGGATGTTGCCCTCTCTATACTGCTGCCCTAGGTGGCCGCCTAGGTCACCTCTATGGACGCGCCGGCCCTGGCTACGGGGCGGTGTGATGCCATTCCTTTTGGCACTTACCGGCTGACCCCTTACCTCTGTGTGGCGGGCTTTCCCGCTGCAACCAGTTTGTCCAGTTAGCTCATCTTGTTCGTTGGCGGACTTAAGACGCAGAGAGGAGTTCACCATTATGACGACGACGACCGGGTTCGTCCGTGGAAGAGCGGTTTCAGAAATCAGGTAAGACAAAAACAGATTCCAAAAAAATCGAAATTTATGAGTGAACAACATGGTGATTGATAAAATCGAAAACTTGGTAAAAATCAGCTTTTTTTTCTGGACGGCTTGTGTAAACCTTGGGCTGGGTTTAGGGAAGTAAGTGGGAGGGTGGGTCAATCAAAATAATTGCTTGGGTTTAGGGAAGGAGGAGGGTAGGTCGGTGGATTGGCTGGTCGCCCAGTCAATAATTCAGTCAGTCGTCAGCTGCCTCCGGTGGGTTCACATGAGAACAGCACGGGTGAGAGCGACACTCGCGAGAGGCATTTGAGATATGAAAAAGCACACACCCTCTCGCAGATTCGCAAATACTAAAGCTGCAAAAATACGTACCTCCCGGGACATATTTTGTGGTCTCCAGAAATGTCCGCGGGACTACGTTTTCAGAATGAGCCTGGGTTGAATATTATAGCCTTGAGAGTGATCTCTGGACCAGTACAAAACCTTCAATTGAACAGAACACACTAACAATGTAACAAGCACTGTAGATTTCTTCAGAAATGTAAACATGTAGTCACGTTTTACATGCTTGCCTCTTGAGTCTGAAACACTTTTTTTTCTCACAGTAATAAGACTGCAGAACATTTGAGCTCAACTCTTGCAAGGCAAACGAAAACCCACAAAAGAGCAAAGGTAAACCATCCTGTTCATTGCTTTCATGTTTTCTGTATTAGTGTGTTACAAATTCAGTTGGTCTAGCTAACAATCATCACATATGTAGTGTAGTAATAAATAACTTAAAGAAAAGAAGAGGCTATCTTACTATAAAAGTAAAGCTGTGTTTGGGCAGATCATTAAAAGTGCTTTTAAGTGGTCGGTGTGTGCAGACTCAGAGTGTGTCAAACCACATGCTAACACCACTGCTCAGCTGTTATGACTACCTAAGCTGTTCATGTTGTAACTGGTTAACTATTCACATAGAATATTGTTCAGCCTAATTATTTATTTTGTGCCAATACAGCACTTTGAGCCATTTAAAGTGGAGTGTTGCACTTTTCTTCTTATAAATAGAGAGAACATTTTAGTACTGTAACTTCCTCTTAAAACGTGCAGCATGGTGAGAGCCAATCGATTCATTGCTACTGCAGTCAGTATGAAACTAGTCTGCAGTCTGCAAAAGACCCTACCCCACTTAACCTATATAGGAAAACCAATAGCCTGAAAAAAAAAAAAACTATAATACATCATGATTTTTTGACTGATCTCATACGATTCGATCTTATCTGATCTCAACTTCCTTTCTTCGTTTGGAAGGTCACAGGGAAACACCACAATCCCACAATCGTGAGTACTCTTTTCAAGGACATTGTTGATTTGACCTATTTTTTATAAATAGTATGCTAAAATGCTGTGTTTGATTGTTGTGAATGTGCCTGAAGAGCACTGTATATATGATTTCGAACATCCATCCTTTGAACTGACGTTTTAGTTTGTAATGGAAGGAATGGTTATGGTTTCACACCTTTTTGTATGGTCGGAAAACCAGATGTTGAAAACATTTAAAGTCAAAGAACAATTCTCAAGTTCACAAGTGGTTTACACCACAGATAGATGCGCGTATAGCCGTATAGGTATGTGCAATTTTATTACAGTGTATATATATATATATATATATATATATATATATATATATATATATATATATATATATTACTACAAACTTAATGTAAAAAAGTGTGCACATATACACTATTTAAATAAAGATAACTAAGTTTTTATAGTTACTGATGTTCATTGTTTAATGACTAAGATGAACATTTGCTTTGCTGTGAACATTAAAGGGTAACATTTTAGAAAGTCTTTTAACATGAATGCTTTTTTAAAACTTTTCCATGCTGGGTAAATTACTGTAAAACATTGTGTTCTTTGTTCATTTATATGTACATGAATGAAACTTTAACAAATAAATATGTAATCGTAGCTTTGTCTCCTTTATATTTAATAATGGAATCATTTAAAGGTGATCTATTTGCATTAATATTCTAAACCACCGTCATGAATTCTACCACTGGCTTGTTGAGGTAGGACCAACCACCATCTCTGAATAAAGTTCAAAAACTAAAGGGTCAAAGCAAAGCCAATTTTCTTAGTCATCAAACGACGAACATCAGTAACAATACATAACTTTGTTTTATTCGTTTGAACAGTGTATGCGCATTAACTCTGCAGTAAACATTAAAGTGTATTATTTTAGAAAATCTTCAGTCTTTTAACATGAATGTTTAGATACTCTTATCGTGAACTAACAATGAACATATTTCCACCCTGGGTACATTACAGTAAACACTAGTGCTTGTTTAGTTATGTGTACATTAACAAAACATTCATTTAAATATATCCACTTGTGACGTTAAACAGGCATATGAATAGCATATACACGTTAGCGGTCACAAGTTTGGGGTCGGTAGGATTTTTAAATGTTTTAAAATAAGCTTCTCCTGCTCATCAAAGCCGCATTTATTTAATCCAAAAATTGTAAAATTGTGAAATGTTATTGCACTATAAAATAACTGTTCAAAAATAGTATATCATTTAATTTAGTTATTTATTCCAGTAATCTTAAAGATGAATTTTCTGCTTTATTATGCAGATGCTTCAGAAATCACTTTAATATTTATTATTGTTGTTGTTGTCATTATTATTATTATTACGATTATTATTAATAATAGTAATAGTCATAAAAGCAATAATGACTGGACTAATAATTTCATTTGAAAATACATATAATAAGTGATAAATAAATATTTAATAAATAAGTATTTAACAATTAAACTTATTTTTTACATTTAATAAATGCCGACTTGATGAACAGAATAATTTCCTTTTTAAAAAAAAGAGAAAAAAAAAACTCGACCCCAAACTTTTGACCGGTAGTCTGTCTGTCTGTCTGTCTGTCTTTCTGTCTGTCTGTCTGTCTGTCTGTCTGTCTATCTATCTATCTATCTATCTATCTGATCTATTTGCATTGTTATTCTTAAACACTATTTCCCTGTTTTCTACGCAGTCAGAACTCTTCTAGATCGCTGATCATGAGTTCTACAGCTGGCTTGTTAAGGTAAGATTAAACATCATCTCCCAATATAGTTCAAAACTGAAAGCGAACACTGAATGCTGTTCTACTAAGTTATAAGCTAGTTGTATTAATCAGTCAACATTTGTGACTTTAAACCACAAGACCAAAGAAGTGTCAATTTTCAGTTTTATATACGGTTCAATATTTTTTGTTTTTATGTAAGTGTTGGACAATATTTGACCACAAACTGTTTAAAAATTAAAACAGTGTTTTAATATAATTACAGTAAGAAAATGTTACAAAATGTCTTCTATGGAACATGATATTAACTTAATATTCTAATGATTTTTGACATTAAAAAAATATTAATTTTGATCCATAAAATGCATGGATATTGCCAAAAAATTATATTATTAAAATTATATTAATTATAATTATTGTATTATTTTAGAAAATCTTCAGTCTTTTAACATGAATGTTTAGATACTCTTACCGTGAACTAACAATGAACATATTTCCACCCTGGGTACATTACAGTAAACACTAGTGCTTGTTTAGTTATGTGTACATTAACAAAACATTTATTTAAATATATCCACTTGTGACGTTAAACAGGCATATAAATAGCATATTCACGTTAGCGGTCAAAAGTTTGGGGTCGGTAGGATTTTTAAATGTTTTAAAATAAGCTTCTTCTGCTCATCAAAGCCGCATTTATTTAATCCAAAAATTGTAAAATTGTGAAATGTTATTGCACTATAAAATAACTGTTCAAAAATAGTATATCATTTAATTTAGTTATTTATTTCAGTAATTTTAAAGATGAATTTTCAGCTTCATTATGCAGATGCTTCAGAAATCACTCTTATATGTATTATTGTTGTTGTTGTCATTATTATTATTATTAAGATTATTATTAATAATGGTAATAGTAATAAAAGCAATAATGACTAGACTAATAATTTCATTTGAAAATACATATAATAAGTGATAAATAAATATTTAATAAATAAGTATTTAACAAATAAACTTATTTTTTACATTTAATAAATGTCGACTTGATGAACAGAATAATTTCCTTTTTAAAAAAAAGAGAGAAAAAAAAAACAGACCCCAAACTTTTGACCGGTAGTCTGTCTGTCTGTCTGTCTGTCTGTCTGTCTGTCTATCTATCTATCATAGTTCTGTCTACTTTATATTTATATGAATAACCTTTATATAATAATTTGATTTATTAAAGGTGATCTATTTGCATTGTTATTCTTAAACACTATTTCCCTGTTTTCTACGCAGTCAGAACTCCTCTAGATCGCTGATCATGAGTTCTACAGCTGGCTTGTTAAGGTAAGATTAAACACCATCTCCCAATATAGTTCAAAACTGAAAGCGAACACTGAATGCTGTTCTACTAAGTTAAAAGCTAGTTGTATTAATCAGTCAACATTTGTGACTTTAAACCACAAGACCAGTCGTAAGTGTCAATTTTCAGTTTTATATATGGTTCAATATTTTTTGTTTTTATGTTAGTGTCGGACAATATTTAACCACAAACTGTTTAAAAATTAAAACAGGGTTTTAATATAATTACAGTAAGAAAATGTTACAAAACGTCTTCTATGGAACATGATATTAACTTAATATTCTAATGATTTTTGACATAAAAAATAATTAATTTTGATCCATAAAATGCATGGATATTGCCAATATATATACACAAGCAATTATGACTAGTTTAGGGGTCCAGGCTCAAATATTAGATTTAAGCAGTGAAGCAAAGCAGATTTTGAAATTCATGAGGGCACTTGTTTAAGGTTGATGTTCAGATATTCACTAATTTTTTTGGGTTTCTGTCATGAACAGCATCACTGCACAGTCTCTGTGGACTGAAATGGAAAACAGCAGCATCCCTGATCTGAATATTCATACATCTTACATGTGAGGTCATATCATATTATTGTATTATTGTAAAGATGGAGCTCTGTTTTGCTTACATATATATTTTTTTCCTTTTCAAGACCAAACATGGATGAGCCAGTTAGCGATCAGCCAACTACCCCTGCTCATTACAGTTATGATGATTACTACAACTCTGTTGATCCTGACTCAGCACCCTGTGTTTATCCAGCACATGGAGCTAGCATCCTCCCAGTCTTATACTCCCTGTTTTTTGTGGTGGGCTTTCTGGGTAACGCTCTGGTTATCTGGGTGGTTTTGATGGGTGTCAAGCTGAGAAGCATGACTGATATCTGTCTCCTGAACCTGGCTATAGCTGACCTGCTCTTGGTCTCCTCACTTCCCTTCCTGGCGCACTATGCCAGAGACCAGTGGATCTTTGGTGATCATATGTGCACTATGGTGCTCAGTGTCTACCACATAGGATTCTACAGTGGGATTTTCTTCATTGTAATGATGAGCGTCGATCGATACCTTGCTGTAGTTCATGCTGTGTTCGCCTTGAAAGTCAGAACAAAGACATACGGGATCTTAGCTAGTTTAGTCATATGGGTCGCTGCTGTCACTGCATCCTTTCCCGAGTTGATACACCTCAAAACCACAGTTACAAATAATCAAACTCTTTGTGCGTCTTATCCGACAACTGATCAATGGTCGTATCATGATTCAAAGACAGCCGGAATCTTTAAAATGAACGTCATAGGTTTAATCCTCCCACTTTCTGTGATAGGATTCTGTTACTCGATGATTCTCATCAAACTGCTGACCGTTCGCTCATCCAGGAGGCAGGCCATGCGTCTTGTCGTGGTGGTGATGGTGGTCTTCTTCTGCTGCTGGGCTCCATATAACATCGCAGCTTTTTTTAAAGCCTTGGAGCTGAAAAAAGTCTTAACTCATTCCTGTGAAAGCAGTAAGGCGATCACTTTAAGTCTGCAGATCACAGAAGCTGTGGCGTACTCACATAGCTGTGTGAATCCGTTTCTCTATGTGTTCGTGGGAGAGAAATTTAGAAAGCATCTTTTCAGACTTCTGAACAGGACACCGTTCAGCAGACTGCAGTTCATGAAGAGTTATATCATACAGGCCACAGGATCTGTTTATTCACAGACAACTAGCATGGATGAGAGATCTTCAGTCGCAGTCTAAGCCCCAATCCCAATTCTATCCCCTTAGCACTTCCCCCGTTCCCGTGAAGAGGTAGGAGTGTCCCAATTCACTTCAGCTTGAAGGCGTGGGGCTAAGGGGAAGGGGTAGATGCCCCTTTGAACAGAGATTTTTCAGGGGCACACTCGAAACCAAAGGGTAAGAAAATTTCCCAGAATACACCAGCTACAACGGCAGGATAGCTGCACCCGGAAGTGAGGAGATTCACTAATTAGTAGGGATGTAACGGTATCAGAATTTCACGGTACGGTAATACCTCGGTATGAATGGCACGGTACAGTATTTATTGAATAATTTACAGGAAATACAAAACTAATGAAAAGACTCGAAAAAAGTGCCAAATGTGTTTATTTACCTTAATACTGAACATTTCAATGACATACAAATTAGCCATCTATCTGTAAGTTTTGAAACAGGAACTTCAATTTTTAAATTTTAATAACAAAAAACTATTAAACCATATTAGAAAAATAAAGTTTAAATTTAGTATTGTTGAAAACTCGTCACATTCAACAATTAATCACTCACTCACTCAGATAGAGATGGGTTTTCTTAAGGAAAATTATCATATAACTATAATCTGGCAAAAGCTGGGATCTCTGGGCATGTCCCCTGCAACAGAAAAAAAAACTCTCATTTGGGACTGAGGTTTCTGGGACAGAAAGATATGATTTAACCAAGGTCAACAGCAGTGGGTAACGTTGTGCATTGTCTTTCCACCACTTGAGAGGACAAGCCATGAGTGAGATAGAGGTCTCTTTGCGGTACAAGTCAATGTCTGCATCAATCTAACAAGTGTGCTGTGTTCTGCAGTCCCCATGACTGTTTTTAGTCGTATTCCCGACTTATATTTCACCACAGTCTGGCAGTGCCTGCATATTGTTTTTTTCTTTGTCTGTCACCTTTTCTACTTTTTCGTATCTTTTTAGAAAGAAACCGAAATGCTTCCACACATCTGATTTAAAACCTGCTTTAGGTTAGATCATTTCCAGCTCTTTTTCTTCCCCGCTACTAGCAACACACTCCATTTCCGCATTACTGGATCTATAGTGACAACAGACCGCAAAGGATGATGGCCACGCCTAGGCTGATGGGAATTGTAGTTCCCGCTACCTCCCGTTCGCTTCATTCACCTAAGCAAACTTTTCTCAGAAATGTAGTATTATTGAGTCATGCGCCTGCGGTAATATTGAAAAAAATTACTATTGCGGTATGACGGTATTTACAATATTGTTACATCCCTACTAATTAGTATTTTCTGTCATTATTATGAATTTTTACAACAAGCAAGCACATGTTTAAATACATTCATAACCGCGCTCATGTTTTACCTTAATAACTCTGGTATAGCAGTCCCACAACATTCTGACACTCGATGACACTCGAATAGCCTTTTAGAAATGTCTAGTGGCTGAGAATGAGCTTTTTACAGTGTCTGCTATAATGTTAGTGTTGTTTTTGGTGTGTTTACATAGATAAATATGACCACTGTGTTATATAAACAGTATAGTTATGATCTTATTGCAGCATTATATCATTATGAGGTCACACTTTACAATAAGGTGCATTAGTTAATGGTAGGTAAGGCATTTACTAACATGGAAAAACAATGAACAATACATTTACTATTGTATTTATTCATGTTAATAAACGTTAGTTAATGAAAATACAGTTGTTCATTGTTAGTTCATGTTAACTCATGGTGCATTGACTAATGTTAACAAGCATGGACTGAAATGTTAATAATGCATTAGTAAATGTTTAATTATGATTAATAAATGCTCTACAAGTGTTGTTCATGATTAGTTAATGTTAGTAAATGCATTAACTAATGAACCTTATTGTAAAGTGTTACCAATTATGATAGCATAAAATATGCCTTCAATGATTTCCTGAAGATAAATACCAAAAAAATAACACAACTGGAATAACTACAGCAGTCGCCATTGTCTGATCTCATATGATGCAAGAGATCATGATGACATATGATGACATGCAGGTGCTGTAGTGCTGTCCCATTTCTTAAGGGTAAATTTTGAAGCCCTTCCCCTTCACACTCAGTTTTAAGGGCCAAGGGGAAAAGGTAGGGGTACAAAAATTTTTATTGGGATTTGGCCTAAGTTGCAGAATAATCAGAATAAAAAATCATAGAATAGGGATTCACTTGCATGAAGGGAGAAAAGATGTTTTTTTTTCCAATAGTTACAATTTGCACAGTTTTCTTACTGCTTAAATATGTCGGAATCAATAGCTATGTTTTCATCTAGTTGCGCTGGCAGGTGTGTCTGTCTGTCTCTCTCTCTCTCCCTCTCTTTTCATCTGCAGACCCCGCCCTAATTATGCAGATGACATTCCCTGGGACTGGCTGGTGTGACCCAGGGTGTCTTTTAAAAAAAGGAAAATGGGCGTGGGGAGGGAGAGCGAGTCGGTTGGCGTGTTGTTTTGCGTTTAGTGTGATATAAAAACTATTTTGTTGCTATGTTATTTTTGTTATTTTGATATTGTTTTGTTTTTTGGTTTGTTTGTTGATATTGTAAATGTTGAATTCTGTACATGGTGGACACCACACTTTTCTTTTATGTAAATATTTTCTCCTGTTTTTATACATTAAGGGAGGTAGGGGTAGATTTTGTATTTTTATTTCTGTTATTTTGTTTAGTGTAGCTAGTTTCATTTTGGTGTTTAGTTAGAGTGTACTTTTTGTTTATTATTTTTCTGTGGCTCCTCTCCAAGGTGTTTGGATTCATGTTTTGGGTGATATAAAAAAGAAAAAGACCAAAAAAAAAAAGAGACAAATAAATAGACCCGACTCCAAAGGGTCACAAAAGTGATTTTATTTGTCTGGTGTATTTTTGTTATGGTCTTGACCCTACACCAGGGTCGTAGCAATCTAAAGATGTGAATTAGCCTTGGAATATTGCATAAAATATTTGCAAATAAAGCTGTTTCTCAATATGCATTCTTCAGCAATCTTGCGTCCTTGTGTAACGTCATCATCAACTGCCAAAGTTTAGTTCCAAAACTCAAGACTGCAAGAACGGAGGATGCGTTTAAGTTCCCGGATGTGTTCTTGATATCGAGGACGCACCGATGCAGACTTGAGCACCGAACTTGCTATGGAAGACCCAAAAGTCATTGCGACTTGAGGTGGGAAGCGCACTTTCTATATAAATTTATTATTAAAGTTCAGACATATAACTTATTTATCTCAGGAGTTTTCCTAAATGAATATAAACATCACCATGAAAATCTTAATAAAGACATAAACACATTAAGGGTGTTTATTTGCTGAAATTCATATTAAATCTGTTTTATTTGTATTATGCAACGTATATTTATAATGTTTTATGCATAGTATATATTTAAAAAAGGGGGTAAAACCATAAATTGCTGTATGAATGCTGTAATGTTTACATAATTTTCCATTAAAAACCTGTTTTTTTGAAAACGGAACCGTAAATCAAACGCAATGAAGGTTTTTGAAGGCACAAGAACTCTTTGGGAGCGCAGGCGTTCAAGACTAGTAACCATATAAAACCATTTTGATGACTGACTTTTCAGTGCATTTTTAGAATGACCAAAACAACTAATCCAGGGTCATTCTGATTATCTACTGTACCCCTATATATATTTCTTGAGAGAGCAAAATATGTCCCAGAATCTACTTTTTAGCAGTATTTGTTTTCGCAAATCTGACAGAGGCCACTTTGTACACTTTTTCAGATCTCAAATTTCTCTCGCGAATGCCATTCGCATTTGCTGTTCTCACGTAAATCAACCTCGTCGTCTGTCCACAAAAATACTTCTCTTGCTTTCTTTGCCATCGTGTTCATTGTTCAACCGGCATTTTTTGTTTAACAATAACCAAATGCAGAGCGAGACACATGCTTCCTGTTTATACTACGTGCATGCCCAGAGTGCGAGAATGGTCACGTGATATACGTTGGTGGTGTAGTGTGGACGGAGATATGTTCAGAAACGCTAGGTGAAATGCTAGTGTGGACGAGGATCGTTTTTTATCTAAAACGCCGTTTTAAAACTAAAACGCAAACGCACTAGTGTAAACCGGCCCTTAATGCACAGCTACGCGCGTTGCATGCGTCGTGGGTCACGACAATCACTTGATGCAGAAGTATAAACCAGGCTTTACACTGCTTTCTCAAGTTTGACAAACCTGCCATTTTGAAATGGAAAACCGAGAGTTTCTCTTATTTCATGGTTAACATACTTTGTGTTTTCACTTAACCTTCTTTCAAAATGGGCCATTAGGTGGCCAAACTCTTATTTCAATTGATACAAAATAAAACTTGTGTGTTAAAAGCATATTTATTGGTATTAATTTAATACATTTTACAATTTTTTCAGCTTTGAATGAATGAATAAATAAATACATCAATTAGTTCATTAAATAATAATATATAATAATATTAATAATAATAATAATGATAATAATGCCGAGGCAGTGGCACAGTAGGTAGTGCTGTCGCCTCACAGCAAGAAGGTGGCTGGTTCGAACCACGGCTCAGTTGGCGTTTCTGTGTGGAGTTTGCATGTTCACCCTGCCTACGCGTGGGTTTCCTCCAGATGCTCCGGTTTCCCCCACAGTCCAGAGACATGCGGTACAGGTGAATTGGGTAGGATAAATTGTCCGTAGTGTATGACTGTGTGTGTAAATATGTGTGTGGATAATAATATTATTATATAATAATTATATAATATTATTATATAATAATAATAATATGTTTCCCAGAGATGGGTTGCGGCTGGAAGAGCATCTGCTGTGTAAAAACTTGCTGGATAAGTTGGCGGTTCATTCCGCTGTGGCGACCCTGGATTAATTAAGGGACTAAGCCGACAAGAAAATGAATTATAAGAATAATAATAAAAATCCTAATAATAATGAATCAAAGTTTTTATGATTTTTAAAATTATGATCAGAATATTCTACAACCATTATACCCAACCAAGATTGCTATCGACAGTATGCTAAGCACATAAAACACACAAGAACCATACAGAACTGAAGCAATTGAAACTGGATCATGGGCTCAACCACAGACCCCATCCTCTACTCACCAAATGACTGAAACTGCAAAGCAGATTCTCTCATGATGAGCAGATTTTACATGAAAAACAATTGT